AAAAAGAAAAGAAAAAGAAGCCCCTCGTGGAGAGAAACATTGATGTATTTTTTCTTGAAAAATGGTTATGCCCTCCTTTTGAGCTGGTCTTCTGGGCTTGTATCTTCCTTGAGTTTCATCATGACTGATTTGATGGAGCTACGCTGTAGATTCCTATCTTCTCTCTGGGACAACCACGTTAGGGTTTTTCTCCCCCGCGTTCGAGAAGGTGATATGGTGTCAGATGCTTCAGATCGATTCAAGAGTTCAAATACGACTACTACGGCCCCAGGGCACTGGTCGCACGTGGAAGACGAGTTTGTGACTATTGCAACAAGGTCAAGCCGGCCCGGTAGAGGAGCGACACGTCGGCGGCTCGTTTGGAGGTCAAAAAACCCTCATTTGACGGCGGTACTGGATATTTGGCAGTAAAAAAAATGTTGACGTCTTTTTTTGACGAAAAAATGAAAAGAAAAGAAAAGGAAGCCCCTCGTGGAGAGAAACATTGATGTATTTTTTCTTGAAAAATGGATATGCCCTACTTTTGAGCTGGTCTTGTGGGCTTGGATGTTCCTCGAGTTTCATCATGACTGATTTGATGGAGCTACGTTGTAGATTTCTATCGTCTCTCTGGGACAACCACGTTAGGGTTTTTCTCCCCCGCGTTCGAGAAGGTGATATGGTATCAGATGCTTCGGATCGATTCAAGGGTTCGAAGACAACTACTATGGCCCCAGGGCACTGGTCGCACGTGCAAGACGAGTTTGTGACTATCGCGACAAGATCAGGCCGGCTCGTTCCGTACTGGCCATTTGGCAGTAAAAAAATGTTGATGTATTTTTTTTACGAAAAAATGAGAAGAAAAGAAAAAGAAGCCCCTCGTTGGGAGAAAGATTGATGTATTTTTCTTGAAAAAAAGAGCTTACGCACATCCATGACGGAGTGCGGTGTGACATTTGATGCTTTACCAGCCGCTTCCAGTGCTGCTGCGACCACGGTATGCAGGGGAGAGTCACTGCTCCATATACTAGGTGGACATAATTTGTCAATTTGAGATTGCTTTTCCCACGCTTGTCGCGTGGTGAAAGCATTGGCCCGAACCCGGCTTATATGCAGCTCTGAAGCGGCCGATGTGGTATAATTAAAACGGCCGACTGCAGGCGCCAATTTACAATTAACGCAGTATGCACGCCGTCTCCTGCTGTGTAATTGTACCTTGACAAACACGGACCAGGCTCAACGCCTTGTGAATACTTTGGGTAATCTATAAGCAGGTTGCCGAGCTGGTAAGATCGATGTGGTATATATTGTTTTGTTAAGCTTGATAATTCATCCCAGGAAAAAGGGCTCGAGAACTAATAATGCAATGACCAGCGAAAACATGCTCCTAAAACCATCGAATAATTAATATTGACAGGAACAAAACAAGCCCAAAACAATTTAGTATCGATCACTTGGTGATGAGCAGGCCGATGAGGGAGGTCCCCGGCGACGCTGCAACGCTCCTTCATCTTGCGATTTATATCCGCCACGAGAGATATTTCTTGGATCCCTTTGAAGAGTTCTTTGTCCAACATGCCCCCTCGGCCTCGGGTGTGCCCATGTATTTACCCTAGGTCACATATATTATTGAGGAAATCGTTAACTGATAGCTGCCCGGTTGGCTGGAAAATAGAGGATTGATAGGCTAGCCGACAAGTTAGTCGGCCAACTAATCAATTAATTGGTTAATTTATTAGTTAATCGGCCACTCGGTGACCCTATAAGTAGGGATTAATCGGATGAAATCTTAAACATGGGTCAAAGATGACCGCGATGTCCTTCACGACTATGTCGGTGACGATTTCGAGAGTGATGCTCGCGAGGTCATGCTCGGTGGATGCATGGGTGCTCTCTATGTCGTCGCCTCACTTAGCACGGCCACACACAACGCAACGTTATTGGTCTTCTTGCATGTGCGGGAGATGAAGTCAGTACCCGCATGGGTGGCTGGGAGGCCATAGGATAGGACAACGAGCACGATGAGAACTGCAGCTATATGGATGTTGCAACCCTCGCCATTTTAGTTCGCATTTTGTATGTAGCTAGGCCTTGTTGCTGCCGGAGTATATTATGACTCTACATGTCTATATAATGCAAAAGGGCTTGTGCATTGCAACGGAAAAAAAATATCACACATGATTCAAGATTTCACAGGTCCAGGTCTTCTATTTGATACATTAGGCAAACTGCGGTTTCCAGTTTAAACACACCTACTTAGGACATGTTCAGTAGCATTCCAACACTTTCTCTGTTGTCACGACCTCTAGCACATCCTGATGCCACCGTTATGAGCTCGTCCTTGCATCACTCTGAAGTCAAACGTCTGGCCAATGTATATCAATGGGAGAGAAAATATACATATCAGCATAGATGCACCAATTTATTTTGTATACTCACACTGGCCAGTACTAAGCCCACACAATGTTCATTTCTTCCTTAACAGGTACCTCTTATTGCACGTTACAGCCACACACCGCAGTCCTCTATAGAACTTTCGATTCTTCTTTACTGGGTCTATCATTGCCAGATTATAGCCATACCTCACCCTCTGTTTTGTTTATTTCTCAATAGTCTTGTTCATTGTCTATTTGGGGACATATATAAATTGCTGGGATTTTGTGTAAATTAGCATGGTGAAACTATTAACTAATAAGGGAACTTTTTTGGTAGAATTGAAAGCTGGCCCAATGGCCGAATAGCGAGAATCATAGGCGTGAACGGCCCAATAGCAAGAATCGTAGATGCGACCCAAAATTATTATTATTATTATTATTATTATTATTATTATTATTATTATTATAAGGGTAAATGGATGAAAAAAACGAAGAAACACATCTTACTTTATTTTTTTGATCTTTTTAAAAGTTACTCGCTCCGTTCCAAAATAGATGACCCAACTTTGTACTAACTTTATATAAAGTTAGTACAAATATAAAGGTAGTACAAAGTTGGGTCATCTATTTTAAAACGGAGGGAGTATTTTTTAGGGGTTAAACCAAGCTTTATTGATCGAATTCCACATGTTGTGGGATACAAATAGGATCATGGGGTTCGATCAACCATGTGTATCGTCCCGGATCCAGAGAATGTGAAAACATGGCTAACCTATCAGCATCACTAGATGCTCTACCTTCAAACTTGAAATTACAATTGAAAAAAGAAGCTATATGTCTAATTTCACTAATGATAGCTCCATAAACACCACTACTGTTTCTCTGAATGCCGTTGATAACTTGTTCGGAGTCTGAAGCAATAATCACATTTTGGATCAATAGATCCTCAGCCAAATAAAGTCCTTCTCGGCAAGCTATCGCCTCAAGAGTCGCCACATGCGTTATACCATGAATGACCAAAGCTGAACTGCCCATATACTTTCCGGTGATATCTCGGCAGACAGCCGCGACAGCCCCTCTTGCGTGTGATTTGGACACAGACGCATCTAGTTGCCACTTTCACTGAGTTCAGAATTTGCAAATTAATATATTTTCTTTCTAAAAAGAAAGACAAATCTTGATACCAAATCTACCAAATCAACTAATAAATGTGTTGTAACCAAAGATAGTAGATGCACTGAGATGAAGTATATATCTATGCGGATTTGCTAATTCCCATGTACTCCCTCCGTTCCTAAATATTTGTCTTTCTAGACATTTCAAATGACTACCATATACGGATGTATGTAGACATGTTTTAAAGTGTAGATTCACTCATTTTGCTTCGTATGTAGTCACTTGTTGAAATCTCTAGAAAGACAAATATTTAGGAACGGAGGGAGTAGATGAGAATTAGTCAAGTCGGTAAGCTTGGATAACCGACTTGACATGGACCTCTTCTGCGGCATGGGACATCGATTTTTCACACCAATCTGAGCACCTTTTGGTGAACCTCTTCATGATGGGTGGGATCTCTCCTATCTCATTCCATCTTCCCGAGTTAGCAAACCTAACTATTTTCTCTCAAAATAAAAAAGGCACCACACCCAAGGTTTTCCTTATCATTAGTTGCACGTTATCATGGCATTTCTTGCTAAATTTTTCCGATAAAGGACATTTCATTGAATAGATATATCGAGGTGATACAATCGCATCGAAAGAAAGCCCGGCCTCTGCATAGCTAGATGCACACAGCCAAAAAGTCTAGAGTGCCCTAAGAATAAAAATAATTCGGTACAAATCGAAGCAAATAAATCATGTCGAGGCTAAGGTGCGGTAGATCCTATTCGTAGATCACACCGCCATCCATGGGGGTAGAAAACCTCCCTGGCCGAACGCTCCAGCCGTGTAGACGCCATCATAAAAAGGTCCCTATCCTCCGGCCTCTGCAGGATAGACCAAGTACGGAGCCATCGTGTACAAACATGAATAACCTGCATAGGAGATGAGACATATTTGTTATTAAAGATCACATCATTCCTGGTAAGCCACAATGCCCAGCATAAGGCCGCCGCTCCCACGAGAATGTGTGCAGAAAATTGTTTATCAATACCCCGCAACCAGTTGCCGAACATATTCCGTGCACTACGTGGTGGGTATAAATTAGAAGCTACTTGAACTATGGCCCAAACTGCCCGAGCGAATTTGCACTCAAAGAATAAGTCTCTAATAGTTTCGTCATGTTGGCAAAAGACACATGTCTTAGAACCATGCCAGTTTCGTCGTGCCAGATTATCTCTAGTTAGGATGACTCCTCTATGTAGAAACCAGAGGAAAATCTTCACTCTTAGAGGAATTTTGAGCTTCCACAATTTCCTGTTATCAACTGGAACATCACAATGAACCATTGCATCATACATAGATTTGACCGAAAATTTGCCATTCTGATGCAAGTTCCATCGAAATACGTCCGGCTCACCTGTCAGTTGAATGTCCTCCAGACGAGTGAGTAATTCATTCCATGCTGCCAGGCGAGGGCCAAGAAGGTCCCTACGGAAAGAAATATCAGGGTTTTGTTGTCCTAAAACTTGTTTGATGGTGACAAATTTATGTCTGACAATCATGTACAAGCTCGGATATTGCACCATTAGTGGTATTCCCTAGCCAGGTGTCTTCCCAGAATCGAACCTGAGAACCATCCCTAACCGAGAAGGTCCCAAATTGGAAAAATAATTCCTTGGCCTTCATCAGGCCACTCCAAAAGTGCGAATCCCCGGGTTTCCAATGAACTTGAGAAATGGCATTTGATCCCACATACTTGTTGCGAATGATCTCTTGCCATACCCCATTCTCAGAGAGTAGTTTGTAAACCCACTTGCTGAGAAGAGCAATATTTTTTATCTCAAGGTCTTGAATTCCCAGCCCCCCTTGACTTTTAGGTCTGCATAATACGCTCCACCTAGCCAGTCTATATTTATTGGATTCATTATCGCACTGCCAAAAAAATCTGGATCTAAAGTAATCTAGTCGCTGGAGAACCCCTTTCGGTAGGTGGAAGAATGACAACATATAAAGAACCATGTTGCTTAGGACAGAATTGATCAAGATCAAACGTCCCCCGTAAGACAAGAGTTTGGCCTTCCAACAGGCAAGACGTTTCTCAAGTCTCTCTTCCACATGCTTCCACTCAACGATAGTTAAACGCCGATAGTGTATGGGAATACCCAGATATCGAATCGGAAACTGCCTGAGCTGACATCCAAAAATCTCAGCATACTCAGGTGCTGATTCTGCAGCATCGCCGAAGCAAAAGAGTTCGCTTTTATGAAAATTGATTTTGAGACTAGAAAGTTCCTCAAAAGCACATAGGAGCAACTTGAGATTTCTAGCCTTGTCTAGATCGTGATCCAAGAAAAGGATAGTGTCATCCGCATATTGTAGAATAGATAGACCATCTTCTACCAAGTGTGGAATGACACCACTAATTTGACCGTCCAGCTTAGCCCGCTCAACAAGGGTAGCTAGCATGTCGGCCACAATGTTAAACAAAATAGGAGAGGCGGGGTCTCCTTGGCGAAGCCCCTTCCTTGTCTGAAAATAGTTGCCAACGTCATCATTTACTTTTATGGCCACACTGCCTCCAGAAATAAAGCTCTCTACCTAACGACACCATGTTGGTGAAAACTCCTTCATGCGCAAAGTTTGCAACAGAAAGGGCCACTTAACTTTATCGTAGGCTTTTTCAAAATCTATTTTAAGAATGACATTCAACTTTTTCCGGTAAAGCTCGTGTACAATTTCGTGCAGGACGACCACTCCATCTAATATGTTGCGGCCTTGCATAAATGTTGTTTGAGTGGGCTTTACGACATGGTTAGCCACCCCGTTCAACCGATTAGTTGCGACCTTCGTAAAGATTTTAAAACTTATATTCAGAAGGCAAATTGGTCGATATTGTTGAATACGATTAGCCTCCTTAATCTTGGGCAATAGGATAATTTTCCCAAAGTTTAAACGAGAAATATCAAGGTCTTCAGTATGCAGTTGGTTAAACAACGGAACCAAGTCTGCCTTAACCACGTCCCAAAAACATTGATAGAACTCTGCGGGAAAGCCATCCGGACCCGGAGCTTTGTTGTGTTCCATTTGAAACACCGCGGTGCGAATTTCCTCCTCTGAGAACGGGGAGGTTAGGAATTCATTTTCCGCTTCCGTAACTTGAGGGATGTCATGAGTAACAGATTCATCCAACTAAAAATTTGTTTCAGCTGAAGGTCCGAAAAGCTCCTTGTAATACCTAGTAATGAAAGTTCTAAGTGGTGCGTCCCCCTCAATTCGGCCTTCCTCCTGGTCAAGGGCGAATATGCGTTTCTTTCTATGTCTGCCATTGGCAAGCATTTGAAAGTATTTCGTATTATCATCACCTTGCACAAGCGAATCCGCCTTGCAATGTTGGTACCATTTAATCTCTTCCTCGCGTAATAGGCGGGCAATCTGCTCATTTAGATTGATTTTTTGCTCAATCTCAACAGCAGCAGAGGCCAGACCTCCGCTATTTTATCAAGGGAATCGATTAAGGTAGATAGTCGCAGTTTTTCTTTTGTGTAAATGCCAGCAGTATGCTTGGCCCATCCACGAAGGAATCGGCGCAAGGCGCGAATTCGATTGTTCCATCGTTGAATGGGTGTGTTACCACGAGGATGACGCGCCCACACTTTCTTAACAAGGTCATGAAATCCCTCTCTAGTGAGCCATCCCAGTTCAAATTTAAACTGGTGACGGTTAGAACTTGGGATTGGTTCTCCAAAATCGGTTAGCAAAGGAGCGTGATCCGATAATGCCTCAATACGTTCTAGAGTCCGAACCGATGCTAGGGGATATTTATATTCACAGTCAGTGGTAACTAGCACTCGGTCAAGTTTTTCAAATATTGGTACTGATCGGTTGTTGGCTTAGGTATACTGACGACCAGACATCGTGATCTCCCTCAGGTCCAGGCTGTCAATAACAACATTAAAGAGGAAAGGCCACCTAGTATCACACTGGTCATTGTTTTTTTCCTGCTGATATCGAAGGATATTAAAATCCCCCCCCCCCCAATTAACATGGGGTGGGGATTGTCTCGACGGGTGTTAACAAGTTCTTTTAGAAATGCAGACTTAAACTCCTCTTGAGCGGCGCCATATACAGCCACCAGACTTCAAAGGAAGTTGTCGGACTTGTTAATAGATGACCCAACTTTGTACTAACTTTGCACTAAAGTTAGTACAAAGTTGAGTCATCTATTTAGGAACGGAGGGAGTAGGTGGGATCACTTAGAGGGAGATAGCAGCTACCTAGCACAACTCTGAAACCGTTCCAATGATTCCTTTATCATTGTTGCCTCCACCAGTGAAGCTTGGAAGAACATGAGACTAACATCAGCGAATAGAAGGTTTGAGACGCCAGGACTGCCTCTAGCAATCTTAATCGGTGTCAGCATCCCTCTTGGGACTTCTTTGTTAAGGATATTAAACCGCCATCTACAGCAAAGTATGGGCTCAAGGGTTCCCCTTTGACGCAATCCTCTAGAGGGGGAAAAGGAATCCAAAATTTGACCCTTATACCACGAATGGTTGGGGAACAACTACTCGGTTTTTCCTCAAAGGTTTCTCATGCTTTTTTTTCTTAATCCTTGTGACTACACCAAGTCTTCGGGCTCGGTTTGAAATAGTATGCCTGCCCCTTTTTTTGTGTGTGACTGAAATATTCTACATGGTTAACCCTAACCCTTGAAAAAGAACAATTTACTGACATTGGCTAGGCATGTACTAACCGGAAACTCGGGTAGTAAATGGTAGTGTTTTTTTTTCTGCCGGGGAGAGCACTTTGTCCAACCTTACTTACTTTTCCCCTCCCTCTCTCCGTTTGATTTTCCCTTTTATCCCTGTTTTTTTAACTGTCTTAACTGTCCCGCCTTTTATTGACTTACTTTTTTGTCTTACGAAACAAAATACTAAATTTTATTTAGGTAGGTAAATCATTAAAGGATATGTAAACATTTATTTACACAATCACATTAATATGAGCAGGTAAATCACGGGATAATGTACTAGAATATTTATATCTCGTTGCAATGCACAGAAAACAATCTAGTACATGTAAAAAAAAGGACTACTTGGATAGAACCAATGCGATGCGATTTGAGTGACTGCAACTAGTGGGTGGATGGCCATGGAAGCGAACCGAATGGCCACACAAATTCTTTCGTTTCTGATATAAAACAAAATTGCACGAGCCGGCAGAAACAGTTCTCAAAGAAATTAATTTGTGCGGAACAGATCTAACTTAAAATATAGCACCTGATGTGTGCCGCCATAAAAAAAGTTTACGATCTCAATTGACGAGATTGAAATTGTTGTAGATGAAATAGCTCATCTAAACATGTTGTTGTCAAGGAAACCTTGTTGGTTCGGTGCCCTAGATGAGCGAACATATGCCATCATTGATACACGCATCATGCTTGGTCGCTTGCAGGCACTAGTTGTCTACTTGGCAAGTTTGTGTTTTGTGTGTTGTTAAGCTCGATAATTCACAATTTCATCAACGACAAAACATGTTGCTACATGAACAACTAATTAATTATTGAAGGGAGCACACACATATGAGCCAAGATTTATATAGGATCGATCACTTGTGGGTAAGCAGGCCAATGACTTCCGCCGCGACGCCACATCGCTCAGTCATCTGGCGATCTATCTTTGACACGGGGGAGTTCTTGCCGATCATCTTGAACGCGTTCTCGCATATATCCCCGACGATCTGGGCGCCCGACACGAGAGCCATCGCACCGACGTAGTCCCCACGGTCGAAACCGGTTCGGGCGTTGTGTTTGAGGTTGTTGTCGGCGTCTTGATAGGCCCAAAGGCATTGCGCCAGCGCGCCTCCCTCGGGCGTGCCTAGGCTTCCCTTGTTTAGGTTGTTGATGACCCCAAGGTTATACTCAGCAGTGTCACTCGCGATCTGCAGCGCGACGCTGCCGACGTCCTGCTTCGTGGAGGCATAGGCGCTCTTTGGGTTGACCTTCAGAACGACCATGCACAGCATGGGGTTCGTGGTCTTCAGGCACATCCGGGCGGCCATGTTGGTGTCACCATAGGTGGCAGGGAGGCCCGAGGACACGCCGGCGATCACAATAAGAACAATAGCTATGGATGTTGCTGCGCTCACCATTGGGGTTTTTAGTTTGCAACTAGCTAGGCGTTGTTCTGTTGGTGCAGTACACTCAACTCTTTCTTATATATGTAAGATATGCACAAGGGAAAATCTTTATGATATGATGCGCCTTAATGATGGTATATCTATTTCTTTTGTTGCATCAAATGTAACAGCAAATTAAATGAATATAGCCATCAATAAATTGAAAAAAAAATGTGCTCTTACAACAAATAAATAGTGAATGTACTGCCATTATTTTTTGCAAATCATATAGTTATAAATGACCAGCAATGGAATAGCAAATCAGCAAATAAATGCATATTGAGAGATATATGCAACCAATATTAAGCCACAATAACCACTCCGGGTAGGGTTGTGGGACAGCATTTATCCGATTTTGAAAGCCAAGGGTCAAGCATATATTGTTTCAAAGGTGAGGGGGACAAACCCAAACTTGAATAATTGTTCAGAGACCAAATATATTCCCCCACACAAAGTAAATCAGAGGGAAGAACGATTTGGCGGATATGAAGAAGATGAGGTAACTTCCACAATTGTGGATGTTGTGGTGCTCGCCATTGTTTTTGCACTTTGCACCATGCAAGGTGTTGTTGTGTCGGTGCATCAAGGTGACTCTTCTCATCTGTGGACGCCACCCTCGAAAAATATGCCTTAATTATGCCATATTTATTCCTTTTACTACATGAGTATAATAGCAAATCAAATAAATAAATGAAGGATCTGATGAGTACTAGTTGCCGCATACTCGCATAGTGATAGATGTACAAAATATTTAGCGAATCAAAAAATAAATGTACTCTCATTGTATACATCTAATGAGTTCCATAATTATTCTGAGAAGGAAGATTCATTTCGTACCAAAC